AAATAAAAAATAAATAGTTAAAATTTTATATAAATATAATATGTAAATTTTGTATATAAAACAATCTCTATTCTATATATATATATATGTTTTCTTCTTCTTCACATTAAACGACTTGCTCGTGGGCAGAGATGATGTGATTTAAATCTCAAGTTTTAGCTCTGTGGATATGATCATCATTTCCTTTTTCATTTTGCTAAGCAATTCTCAATAAGAATGCATAAAATCAAGATGTTCTATTTATTAAACATGTTAAGATATTTAATCACAATTATAAAATAAGTGAAACATAATTTAAGTTCTACTTGAGTCACATGCATCATGTGAGTAGGTAGGGTTGAGAAATGTCTTAACGTCTTTTATTGTATTAATTTTCACTTTTTTGTTATGAAATTAGTCTAGAAAGCATTACAAAAACTTGAGTACATTTGTTTGAAGCTAATGGCTTTAAACCATCCATCAACTAAAATCCTATTTTGTTAAAAAAAAAACCTAAAATTGGGCATCCATACTCAAATCAATTTAATCCAATCAACTATGGAAGAACTCTAGTGAATATTATCAAGAAATAGAAGACCCAAAAAAAAAAAAAAATGTAGCCCACCACTTCTCTAACCGCTTTCCCCGCTCTTTCACTAAAAGATGATTAAAAGCAACAACCTGAAAATTCGGTCAGCCACTGGCTTCCATTTCCCCACAAATCCAAACCAACAACTCTTCAAACAAAAATGCTGCTTCCCTGAAATTTCCAAATTTGAGATTTTCCATTTCCCATCTCCCTCTTCCTTTCTTGATTGAGACCAACACATGAATCAAGAATCGAGAGTGCAAAAACCTTTGCCCCACATGCTTCTGAATTTCCAGAATATGTTTCTTACTGGGAAAAGCGTTTTCTTGGGTGGTGTTTGTTGGAAATGACACTATTGCAAGCTAGTAGACAAGAAAAGTCGAGTTCTTTCGTTTTACTTTCTAAACGGGTATGTATATGTGGATCATAATTTCTTCTTCAGGAAGAAATTTTTATGATAAATGCTCAAAATGGATGCAACAATAAGCTTGCTTTTACTATTGTACTAGCTTGTCACTGTAGCAGCAACAAGCACCAGCCACTCTTTGAATTAGGAAGACATCAACAACAAGATGAAGGGTCTTTTGAAAGGTTTAAGATACTTCCAACAAATGTTCGGTATGATATGATTCTCAGTTTTCCTAGTAAGGAGGTGTGATGGAAGACATTAGAAACTAATAAAAGAACCTAAATTCCTCGATATGCTGCAGAGGATAATGAGAAGGAACCAGAAATGGTAATAGGGTTACCCACAGACGTAAGGCATGTTGCACATATTGGACATGATGGTCCATCTGCCAACACCCCGAGCTGGGTATGCTGTTTCTTCCTTTCCCTGCATCACACAAGAAATCAAGCTGATGTTGCATTTAACTTTGTTACTTACCAACGAAAAAACTAATAATGCTTTTCTTACATAGATGAACGAGTTTAAGTCTGCCCCAGAGTTCTTGTCAGCGCCTACAAATAATAGTAAAGAAAGGAAACTATTAGCTGGAGGTTTGATTAATTCTTTTTCTTCCCCATTTTAATGCTTTTCCATCATTCCCTGATGCAAAGGCCAAATAAAAGAAATGATTATCTGATATTCTGATGCAAATATTGAAATTAATAAAGAACTATTTGGTTTTTCAAGCAAAACATTTATAATATCTTCTAACCTTCACATAATAACATACCATAGTTTGTTGTACCATTGGAAGGTCAGGTTCAAATCTTTGGTCATATGCATTGATAAATAGCAGAGGGTCAAGAAAAAAATAAAATTCTAAATCTGTTTTCTATTGGACCATCTTGACTTTACTTGTAATGCAAAAGTATAGTGAACAAAAACATTTTACACTAAATAATGCAATGCTGCTTTGCTTACCTTGAACATAATTGTAGCTGCTGGTGGAACCCAAGATCATAATGCCAGTGAGAAACCAAAGCACAGGTCAAGGCGCAAATCATCAACTGGCGCTGGCTCACCTTTAGGTTCTCCGAAGGCTGAGAAGCATCACAGGCGCCGCTCTTCTAATATTTCAATGGATTCCCCAGGTCGTGAACACCCAACAAGCAACCTTCCCAGGAGAAAGGGCAGTTCAAACCACAGTGCTGAATCACCCATGCATGATGCTGCCATGCCTCCAAAACACTCCCGTCAGAAGAAGTCATCAAAGGAATCATCTGGCAGTGGATCAACAAAACCATCGAGATCCAAAGGCCAGAATTCTTTGTCTAATGTCCTGGAACTTAAATCTGGGAAAGGACATGATGACAGCCAAAACAGTACATTTTCAGAAGCACATAAAGACAGCAACAGTAATTGGAGCTTAAGGGACAAGAGTAATTAATTTGTAAGTTTGAGGTTTTTAATTAAAGCATACCTCTGCATCCAAGGCGTGCAGCCCCAAGGCATGCAGCCCCAATCAATTCCTTCTTCCATCACTGTTGCATCAATTTTGGTTTGTAGATCATTGTCAAATTCCATATCTGAAAAAACTTTTGAAATGCCAATTATGCAAGTTCTTGAAAATTCAGCATTCCTACTTGTAGACAAAATTTTTTAATGTCAAGCTTTTAGAATTTAGAAATATGTAGTGTACAGAATATGATATAAGATATATCAATCAAACCATCAAATGCAAAAAGAAAGTGTGAAATTGTCTCCTTCTCATCATCCAGTAAACTTAAGGATGACACTTTGCAGACCCTCAAATATGAAGTTCAGAGAAACAACCAGAAGAAACTTTTATCAAAGAAGCATACTAGCATAGCGTAAATAAATAATAATCTAAATAAGGAAAATAAGGAGACATGAGGCAAATTCCATAAAGTTGCTCACCTCAGAATGTCTTGCATTTAGATAAAATTTCATCAAACTCAAAACATCCATCCATAAACTCTTACAAAAACTTTAGTTTTGGAGCTTCATCATCCAGCCTTCTTCAAACTTCAAGTGAACACATGAAATCCAACACAACTTTTGCTTCCACAACAGAAAACATCTTGTAGATGAAGGGTCAACTTGCACTTAAGGTTATTTTATCTTTATTCAACGGGTTCAAGTTGATGTGGACAAAATGCTATACTCTACAAAGACTACTTTAAGAGATTCAAGGTAAAAGATGACCGTGTTAAACACCATTCTATCCACTCTAGGATAACATAAATATGCCATTCAAGAAATTAAAAGGGAAATAACATGAACTAGAAACCTTTACACATATTTTTTGGCTATGTTATTAAAAGATAAGAAGTTCATCATGGTCAAGAGGCAAAGGCACTTACAAACACCATACGAAAATGATAATAACAAAAGAAAAGCATCTCTATATAATGGTACAATCAGAGAAAGCCCATTAATCAATACAAATACCAGCCATCAATCTTCTTCCTTTGCTTCCCATTGAAACCAGATCCAGCCAGCAAGATGAAGCTGGAAATATACATTCCAGTACAGCTGCCTTATGCCACTCCAGAGATAATCTTATTATCTTCTCCACCATAGTAGAAACCTTTACACTCAATATCCAACCTAAATAGTGATCTTATACAAAAGCAACCACCCTAATTGTCCTATATTTTGCCCTGACCCAAAGTTTCTGAATTATATTCAAATAGCCTCAACAGCAACCACCTCTGCCTTCTCGTTAATTCCATAATGTGCCACAGTAAACTCATCATGCAATGCCACCCTGCGGAATAAAACTTCTTTCACACGATATCCCTTTTTCTTGATCATAACCTTCAAATCATGAATGGTTGTGGTGTCTGAGATAAGTCCATCAAGTGAATCTAATTTCACAGGAATGAATCTTGACGAGGGTCCAAGGACCATATGAAGAGTGCAATGCTTGTGGATTTTGTAACTCTCCAGAGCCATCCCATCTTCAAGTTTTTTCCCTGCATAAGTAAAACTTTGAAGATTAACCGGAATCTTCAGCTTCTGAAAAATCATCTCCTTTACATCCCCAATGGTAGAGGATCCAGAAACATCAAGGAGTATGGTTTTGGTTTCCCCACTCCATGTTTTAACAAAGATCTGAAAGGTAGAAGGCACCATCTCTAGGATAGATTCATCTTTGATGTCATAACATGCCAAGATTTCAGAATCCTTAAGTTTCTTTCCTGCATACATCAAATTGCCAGCTGAGACCCCTAACATTCTTGCAGCAATTGCTTTGATAGCGCCAATGGTGAATGTAACTTTAACTTGGAGTCTCACAGTACAATCATATGCCTTCACAAAGATTGATAGCACATCCTTTTGACAGAGAACCAGATGAAGGGTTGACTTATTATATATATTGAGGGATGCTAGCGTCCTATCCTCTTCCAGAAGTATTCCATTGTAGACAAGCATGAATTGATCTGAATGAATTCCCTCCTTGACTTGAATCACCGATTTGATACTTTCAACAGTATCATTAGGCCTTGCTTCCACAACAATGGTTCTCTGACCTGATGGTATTTCAACAAATAATTTCATCCCAACAAAATCCTGGACAATGAGGCTAACAGTGGAGTTCCTCTGAATACCATAATCAACTAGCCTTTCATTGTCCTCAAGTGGTTGGTCAGCAAAGAAAAGACTGTGAATGTTCTCAGAAACAACACCCTTCTCATGCAATGATTCTTTCAAATCTTTAACCGTTTCAGACAGTTTAACTTTGCAGGTCACTGTTTTCATGATCTTCAGGTATATATTTATCTGTAAAATGAAACGGAGCTTTAAAAAATCGGAAGAAAGAAAACCAATGCAATTAAGTAGCTTATACCATATCTTATCAGAGTCATAACCAAAAGAAGCTTAACTTCATAATTGATGCATACAATCACTAAGCTAGTGAAACAAATTCTTACTAGATTAACTAATAATAATTCCATCAATCAAATTCAACTAAGAACAAAAGGCAACTTGCAACTAACTGATTCTCCATTCTGAGCTAATTCCTTATCCTTTGGTTTAATACAGTAATTGACAAAAAAAAATCAAAATATATTCCTTGTAACTCATGCAGAACCTCAAAGAATTAAAAAAGAACCAAAACCCAAAAACAGAAGCTCAGTCTAAGGATGATTGAGAAGAAACTACAGCTGCTAATACTCTTCACATGAAGGGAATCAACTAATTAAGCATTACAATTCCTTGCGTGAGGGGAAAAAAAAAAAAAGAAAGAAAGAAAGAAAGAAGGAAACTTCAGAAAAGGGAAGAGACAAAGACCTCTTCGTCGAGTTGGGGTTGGGAGACACCAGAGGCAGGATTTAGTGCTGCTGAAGAGGAAGCCATAGCGATTGAGGAAACCCTAATCTTAAATTTC